CTGCATTCGTGACATCTGCAATCTGTGGTAACGGCTTCATTTGTGAGCAAGACTAAACTGAACCTGAACACAAGAAAGTGCAGGGCTGCATCAGACAGCCCCAAACGGCTGGAGACATTAAACGTGACTCTTTCATCTCTTTTCCTTTCTTCTTTCCTTTCAAAGACATTATCCCTCATATCAAAGCATGTTACTGAACTGCAGCAGCCATCTAAAGCCACAAAGCCTCGTTGTCCGACCCCATTTGAGCCAGTCAGAGGTATAACATCCATTTTTCTTCTCTCACCCTTTGTCTCAAGGAAGGTGTTAAAAACAAAAATAAAAAGGTGGAATTGAGAGAGCCCCTGCAGCTCTAAGGGTAACATGTTGGAAACTGAAGGAATCATTTTCAACCCATCGAACTGACAAGAGAAGATAACTCCTCTACTGTCAATCAAACCGAGGTGGAGGTGAGAAAACTATGTTGGCCTGTCAGGGTGCTAGTGTTACAAGTACTAGCCTGAGCCCTAAAGGCAACACAACCATCGCTACTGATGTTCTTGAGATAACTGAAGGAGTTGTCAACACATGCCCTGCAGTGCTACGTTCAAATCTGATTTCTCCCTCTCTGTCTGTGTTTCTTTGTGCTATTACATTTTCATCTATAATGTGCTGGAAAGTCCTGAAAATCAAGACATCTTCAAAACCTAAGGAGAACTTTTTTTTTTCTTTTTAACTAAAACTCAAACCACAGAAATGTTGGCACCAGGGTTTGCATTGCATTGCACCTAAAAAACAATGGAATACTGTGCATATTGCAGATATTACATGCCAGTTATCCTTGCATCTACAGTGCAATTCTGACTTTACTAGAACAATTATTTTTCAGAGGCCTTTAAAATCACGCCGAAAATTCAAGCATGACCCATTTCACCCTTTAAAACACCCTGACACAGGCACACTGTAATCAGTTTAGTTATTTGGTTTCCTGTCTCTGAGGCAGATCTTCAGAGCAGTAAGGAAATCCATCATACTCATGACATCCAGTAGAGCAAGGACATTTGACAAGAGTTTGAAAAGTAATTTTAAAACATCTGTGATTTTAATTAAAAGTAAAATGTGAAAATCACCCGCGGCTGTGGGATGTGGCTGTGGCTCAACAGCATGGTGAGAGTTGAAGCTGGAGGGTTCAGGGTGGAGGGCAATACCAGAAGAAGCTGGGCTGGTAAAGCTGGGGAGTATTTTATAATTCTCCTTCTCTTGCAGTACTGCGCCGGGACCAGGAGGAGGCAGTATAAGGAGCAGCCACCAACGCTGCAGGGGCCATGCTGGGTAACCACTGAGAAGTTGCAGCATATACAG